CGATGAATGTCGTTAACCACTTGGGTCCTTGGTCCGAGCGGTGAAGGCACAGTAACCTGGTTACAGAGCACTCAATGCGGGCAAATCGTCCCCGCTCTAGTGGTGCGGTCCGCCCGGCCACGTTGGGGTAACGCTAAATACTAAATAGCCCTTGCCGACCGGTGGTCCGCTTCGGTCCTCTCCCCCTTCCCCACCGACGTCGTAATGGGCCAAGGAGGAATTTCTCATACGCGACCCGCGCCGCCACTTTGGAAGCATTGTTCGCACCGCCAATAATGTCGGGCACGGCGGCCAAATTTACTGTAATGCCGTCCGGAGGGTGAGGCATGGCGCGGCTCGGCACGGCGCGCATGCCCGCCTCGCACTGCCTCGCACTGCCTCGCACTGCCTCGCACCGGTGGCGGCCTGGCGAGGCGGCCGCCTGACCCCACCAAGCGACGCCTGCGGAGCGCGGGGCGGGCCACCCCGCGCGCATGTGTGTTGCGCGGGCAGCATTGGGCGCCGTGGCCCCGCGTGGCTGGGGCTTGCTGGGGCACTGGCACAGCGGCTGGCAAACTTTAACCCACGTCGAGCCCGCCGAGGACAGCGGCCCACTTAACACCACGACAGTGACCTTGCAAACGCCATGACAGTGGCGTAGCCGGCCCACTCAACCCACGCAGCGCCGCCTCCCTCAAAGCTCAGTGGCGTAGCAAGCCGCTTGCGCGGCAGGAAACAGGCCGGATTTATCGTGGGGGTTTGTTTACTTTGACGTCGGAGCGGCAGAGCACAGCGGAGCACGGCAGAGCGGCGGAGCAACAGGGAGGGGCGGATGAAGACAGGCAGTGGAGCAGCAGCCTTCGCCGCAACCGCCGAGACGAACTGAGTGACAGCTCGCGACGCGCTGATCTCACCAAGACCAGGTGGGGCCCTGGTGTGACGCCAACGTGTAATGAAACCGCGCCTCCACGACGTGGGGGAGGAGAAGAAGAAGAAGAAGAAGAAGAAGAAGAAGAAGAAGAAGAAGAAGAAGAAGAAGAAGAAGAAGAAGAAGAAGAAGAAGAAGAAGAAGGAGGAGGAGGAGGAGGAGGAGGAGGAGGAGGAGGAAGTTGACTCCTGAATTCTGGAAAGGTTTGGATTCCATTCCTCCAGGCCGTGGCCATGTCAGGTCTCAGATTTTATTAATTCTCTTTTTTTCTTTTTTTGCGCCGTTGGAATCGTCTTTGCATACCGCAGAGCGACGAGCCACGCGCCTAAATGACATTTTTTCAAGTCTGCGGGGAGCGGGTGGGCCGGGCCGGCAGCGGTTCCTCGCATACATTCCTTCTCTCGATTAATTCTTTCCTTTTTTTTCCTGCGGAGCCCGAACAACCTGTGCTCGAAATTACCCCAGCGGGAGCCGCGAGAAGGAGCCCATCGCAGCGAAATATTTCATTAAACAGTATCGGACTGACGGCAACGCCGGGGCAACAAGGCCCGGGAGGTGAGGCGAGCCCAAATTAAAGTGTAAACAGGGAAGCGGGGAAAATCGATGAAGGAAGAAGAGGGATCGTGATTGCGGTCCGCACTTTTCGCGCCAATATTTGACTTGAATCGCCGCTCAAAAGTTCCCTCCCGCTCGGCCAGTAATTGATGAGTTTTGTCCACTGCCTTGTTTATGTCCGTTCTGTACCACAAACACTCCGGCATGTTTCCCGAGACTGCTTCGCCAGATCGTTTCATCTCGCTCCGTTCAGACTAGGAAACTTTGCGGGCGACGCGGCGATGAAGATGCAGCAACTCCTCAGTAGTATGGAACGGTCATTACTACTCTCCGCCACAAATGTAAACAAATCAACATCGGCTCGAAAAAGCGGCAGGGAAACGCTGCTGATTTTTGCAGCCGATTTCATCTTGCCGCTCCCGCCATGATGACAAGGGTCCAGCAAACGAAGGGCGTCTGTCGGCCTTGGCTCTTGACCGTCCTTGAGCCGTGCCCTTGGTGCTCCCATGTCCTGCGGTCCCTGGCTCGGTCCCTGGTCATCCCTCACCCGAACATTTCTCATGGGCACAACACGCTGCGGCATCTTGTCTGCTGCTGGAGCGCTTGCTCCCTGGAATCCCCCCTCCCACCCCCTTTCTGGTTATTGGAATAAAATGCGATAAAACATGAACGGTTAGCGAGCAGTCAACGCAATCAAGGAGGCGCATTGATTGTGCCCGTCTGGGCAATCGGCGGAGGGGGGTGAAACACTGTAGCGCGTGATGAACGAATTGCCAGATGTCCTGCCACGCACAGTGCTCCCAACTCCAGTGCTACTTTCGCAGTGGGGTGGCAGTGCCTGGCAGGGCGGACAACATCTCTGACGCGGCTCGCCCCCGAGGCCCTGCTGACCGACCTGAAGGCGACCCCGAAGGCGAGCCCGAAGGCCAGCCCGAAGGCTGGTCTGGTTCGGAAGGGCGCGGAACGCGAAGTGCGGCCGGGTGATTTGCTGGTGGATGCTCCGAGTGCTACAAATCAGATGGGGTGATAACCCCGCAGGCAGCTACTGCCCATCCCCCTCCCCCGCCCCCCTGGGGGTGGTTCCTTGCGGTATTCGTCGGAAGTCTCGCCCCCAGGCCATTTGCACTGCTGCCCTCCCTACCCTAGCCCAACTGAAATCTTGTTCCCTACTCATCGCGCCCTCAAAGGACCCCCAGGACCTTCCTCCTTCATTCGAGGAGCCGTGGCGACCGGCACTCCATGCCGCCTTGTGAGGCGGGCGGAACCCCGTGGCACGGTGGATCAGAAGACCGGCGGAGGCGGCCGAAACTCCAAACGCGTTTCAAGCTCCACAGTCGCTAAACAGCACTCGAACTAACCGTGTGACCCCACCAATGGATTCCTCGTTCGAAGGGCAATCCATTGATGGGGTCACACGTCCGGGTAGAGTCTCATTTAGCGGTTCTGGAGCTCAAAACGAGTTTACAGTTCAGGTCACCGCCACCGCTCTTCTGGCCCACTATGTGCCTCGGCGCTCGGGTGCCTTTGGTTGCAATGCTGCAGCAATCCTTTTTCGACAGTGTGCTCGCTGGCCGCGATGCGGCGTGCGTCTGAGCACGCCCGTGTTTACGCCTCTGGTCAGAGGAACGGCCGCTAGACGGCGCAGTGGATGGCTCCTGGGAGCCCGCAGCCCCGCCCGGCCGCGGCCCCAGGCCCGAAGCCCCAGGCCCGAAGCCCCAGGCCCGAAGCCCCAGGCCCGAAGCCCCTGGCCCGAAGCCCCAGGCCCGAAGCCCGGGTCGGCCATCCACCGGCACGGCCGAGGCACGGCCCCTTCGTGTGCGGCCACCAAGTAATAGCGTGATAAAACCGGGATATCTCGGGAGAAATATGTGTCCGGGACGGGGCGGCGTGCATAATATTATAATCAACCTTAGGGGCGAAACACGGTGTCGACGCCGCGGTCGAATTGCCGTCCAGCATGCAACGCGCATCGCGATTTATGGCGGTGCGCGCGGTGAGGAGGAATGATTTTCTGTTAAGGGGAGTTTTTGCGACCGGCCGGCCAGCTGCGGCTCTCCGTGGCGGCGGCGCTGAGTGGAATTTCGAGGGTGCAAGGTGTAGTGGAAGGTTCGCGGTTCAGAGTTTAAGATTCAGAGTTCGGGAAATGTTGTGGTTGATGGGAGCCGCCGGCGCGTCATCGCACTAGAAGACAATGCCGTGAGCGAGACCGCCCCGACGACCGACCCTTAGCAGCGACTGCGTCCGAAACCCACTCCCGAAATTACCGCCGGTGTAACGACGCATCTCCAGCCGCACCTGGGGGGAAACTTTCGCCTGAATAGATTGACGGCACTGCAGCCCGGGCCGCGATGCCGCGGTGGAGGGCCGACATCCCGACATGATGGATGAGAGTTGTTGGCTTGTACCGCCCGACACGCCGGGGCCAGCCCGGGGCCAGCCCACGCACAACATTCGCATGGATGCGTGCGCGCCGTAGGTTCAAGCCCGACAGAAGTCACCATTGTCGTTCATCCGCGTCGTCAGCGTCCTCGGTACGTCGTCGGCGTTCTCCAAGTGTCGTCGGCGTCCTCAGTGCGTCGCCGGCATGATGATCCTCAGAGCGTCATCGGCGTCCTCCAAGTGTCATCATCGGCGTCCTCGGTGCGTCGTCAGCGTCCTCGAGGTGTCATCAGCGTCCTCTAGATGTCATCGGCGTCCTTAGCACGTCGTCGGCGTCCTCAGAGTGTCATCGGCGTCCTCCGTCCGCCCTCTACGCACTGCCCTCCAGCGCAACGCCACGGCCTCTACGCGGCGTGATCGCCACAATGGCGGGCCGTTCACTTTGCCCGCCAGTCCGGCGTTCATCGCTTCTGACACCTCCATTAGGGCAGTCCCTTGAAATCCCGAACTGTTCCGAACGACGCTCCGACCTTCGCAAGGTGCCGACCAAGCCGACGGCCGGTCAACAGCAGTCAACGGCAGGCAACAGGGGTTGCTCTCGAGAGCCTCGTCCGCCCGGACCAATCAGGCGGCAGCTCGACCGGTGACCGCCATGCCAGGCCCGCTTACCTCCCTCGAATGGCGACGGAACCTGACCGTAGCGACGACTCCACAGCCAGACAGTGTTCCAAAAAAGTTCTGAAGGTCCTGAACGCCTTCTCATACTCATGGGTAGTCCCGCAGAGCTGCGAGAGAGCCACAGCGGCGAGAACGGCTCTCGTAATCAGTCCGCCGGAAGCCTCTCCGAGCCATATCACTCCAGCCAGACGGCCGCCACATGCCGCTGCTGGAGCATTCCCAGTCGTTCCCCATCACGCGTCCTTACAGGGACCCCGCGAACGCGTCGACTATCATATCAACATCCTGGAGATCGGGTTGCGCTGGCCCAGCGCTGGCCTGGTGGTGGTGGCCCGCCACCCGCCGCTGGTGGGGGCGGCAGGGTGGGGGCGGCGACGGCGGCGGCGTCTCAGTCTCCGCGCAGTCGGGGCACGGCAGCAGCAGCGAGCGGTCGCACGTGGCGCGAGCAGCGCGAGCCGAGCCGAGCGACGGCGCGAGTCGAGCCGGCGAGACCCACCGCGAGCACCCCGTGGGGCACGACGCACGCCCCATTCTGGCGGTCCGCGCCCTTCCGCCATAGCGCGTTTGCCACCGCGCCCTCGCGTGTGTCTGTGTTAGTGTGCTAGTTTCCTCGTACAGTGCATACCCTCCGTCCCGTAGGTGTGTCAGCAGTACAGTGTGGTTTTCAGCCGGTGGTGGTGGGGACGACACCAGTCGCGTTATGGAAACGCTTTGCAGGGGACGTTCGTGCCTCCTCGCCAAATCGACGTCCACCTTCCCGTGGCCCCGCTCGCCCTGCGCGCCCTGCGCCAGGCACGTCCTGCCCTACATAGTAGGCCCAGCGCCAGGCCCCACGGAGGGACTGCCGCGAGCCCGCACAGAATAATATAATTGTGCGTATTTCCCGCGGGATTCAAAATTTAGTTTTCGACAGCCTCTCCACCCTCCAGGCTCGCTGCCTTTTGTTTCCTGCAGGAGAGCGGGGAGGCCCCGTCCCGTGGGCCACAATGGAAGTAGCGGGCGCGTGAAGGTGTGCGCCCAGGCATTTCGTGGAGAGAGAGAGAGAGGGAGAGAGAGAGTGTACGTGTGAGTGCACGCGGATAAGTGCAGGGGCGTGTGGCATCCCCCGAGCCTGCACCTCGAACACCATAATGGTCGTTACCCCGTCTATCGTATTTCGCTGCAACTAGCGGCACACAGTTCGCTCTCCTCTCTAGCTTCTACGCTCCCCACTCGTCCCCACCACCACAACTTTTTTTGGTGCGCGTTTCCAGCAGTTGGAGTGCGTCCTGTTGATACCCGTCCAGTGACTGTGTTTTTGTGGTGACCCCGTTCGTCGTTTCGAAACGGATACAAGCCGCCGGACGCCCCACAGCCCACGCCCAGTGGACTGGCCCGGGCACCACCTCTCTCTCCCATGAACCTGTAAGTCAATTTCCCCAAGTTGTTATTTCCTCCTAGCGCGTCGTGTGTGACACCCCGCCCCCTCTGCGAGGCTAGCCGCGCCCCGCCCTGCTTCGGCACCCTGAAATTGGAAAGGGCGATTCCGACTCACTCCGAACTTGTTGCCAGGAAGTTCGCGTGCATTCTGTGCGCGCCTCCACTAGAGTACGCACTGCGTTCCGGGTTGCTTTTGAGGCTACGGGTGGATTCAGGGTTTCTCTGAGAAGGAACAGGGATAGTAGTGCTTGTTGCCTACCTGCCAGGCTTCGCTCCTACAGATTGAAGGGGAGGCTACCTTTGCACACCTCCCTGGATCCGCACCTGGTCGCGTGGCGGTGACGCGTCGCGGCCGCGCGAGACAATGTTGACAGGACAGAAGAATAAACATAAACATGCAAGTGGGGCTTTTTTTATCACGTCGGGACCTGAAACTTGAATAAACGTATGCATTTCCCGCTGAGAGACCTACCCCTCGGAAACAAAGCACAGAGAGCGACACACAAACGCCCCAAAAGAGAGACCCAAAAACAAAAATTTTGGTGACGTTGCTTCAGCAGCTAGCATAGTTGTGGGCGAGCTGGGAGACCTTCTGGTCCGTTCTAGTCCGGTCGGATGGAATTTGCCGTTTCGTCGATGAGTAAACTGTTTCGCGTTCGGTCCATTAAGTTGGTGAATTATTGATGGCATAATGAATGGGCGTGCACTGTGAGTCGTGATCGATACTGTTTGCACTCAGCGTGTTGTTTCAAACCCTTTGCTTATTAGCGGCAGTCAAATTGAGTTAATGAATCGCCGTGTTCCGATCAGCTTTTGAAGCAGACAGCGTGGAGTGCTGAAGGGGATACGGTCATTGGCGGCTGACCAAACACAGGTCATCGTCCCTCAGTGAGCCAAAATATCGGTGGAGGCGGTCAAAATTAAAGACGTGTTTTGAGCTCCAGAGTCGCTAAATGGTAGTCGAACCAATCGTGTGACCCCATCTCCGAACGAGGAATCTATTGGTGGGGTCACACGGTCAGTTCGAGTCCTGTTTGGCGACTCTGGAGCTCAAAACACGTCTAGAGCTTTGGCTGCCTCCACCGGTCCTCCGGCCCACTGAGCGTCCCTGTGGCGGCCGAAGCACGCGCTTTTTCAAGTGCCTTGCTAATTGAGTTGACCCAGCCAGGCCAGCCAGGCCGGGGATTGCTGGTGGCTGTTTGGACGCTTGAGATGCACAACATGTTGATCGCCTCCCTGCTGACGGGGAGGCCCGACAAATTCGCGTCCGGGAAATTGATGGAGGCAAGTCATGGATCCTGTGATGGATGGGCGAGGCCCGGCCTGGCCGTGGCGCCGTGGCCGTAGGCGGAGCAGCGGGCTGGCTGGCCAGTCTTGAGCGCCCCCCGAAGACCTGGTCATCATCAGCGAAAAGATGTTGCGAAAAAGAGAAGCAGAGTCTCGAGTTCAGAGCGATAAAAGTGACGGTTTTAATCTAGTCTTGGACCCAACAGATTTACGAAAAACCGAGAAAATAGTTGCTCGTATAGAGTTTTAACCGAACGACAGGTGTGAATATGTCCTAAACGGCGATTACCACTATGTGGTCGTCTGGAGGAAACACTGCACTAGCCTTCTGCACACAGGACTGTAACACCTTAAAAAAAAAACTCGTGGAACGCTTTTCATAAAACAAAAAAAGAAACTGAGCCCATGCGGTGGACGATCACACAGCCTGTTCAATATGCCCGTCAGAAGTGGAGTACCTGCTGAGCTGAACTGACTGGAATAATAAGAGGCCACCGCGGCCCAGCCAGCCAGCAGCCAGCAAGCTAGCAGCTAGTCAGGGCGTGAGCTGGGCAGCGAGCGTTTCGCTGCACGGGAGCGCTGAAAATCAGTCACAGTGAACGGCAATCCACACCCTACGACACAAAGGGCGGTGTATTTCACGCTTCGAGTGGGGCAAGGCACGGCACTGCACTGCGAACGTGCCGGGAGATGGGTATCGAGCCCCACCGTGGTTTAGCGCCAGCACCACTGTACAGTTGGTTTGCACAGAACAACAGCAGCAGGCACGGGGAGGCATCGTCATACGCGCTCCACCCAACTGTTTCCCAAACGCTCCACGCCGTCCAAAAAAAAAAGTGCACCCATGATTCATTGTTTCAATGTTTCCAAAAAAAAAAAAAAGTTGAAAATTGAGATTGACGCCGTATAAATTTTTTTTTGCTTGCTGACTTTTAGCCTTTCCACACGCAGTCCACAGGTGCGGAATGTCTGAGATCAGAGGTGACCTGCTCGGCGGCCTGCTATGCGACCTCCTAGCCGACTTGCTAGGCGACCTGCTTGGCCCTCGGTGGCTGCCTGACTGTGCCAAGCTTTGTCAACACACTCTCGCCCTGATCCTCGGCCCGGGTCGCGTTTCCTTCCTCTCGTCTTTTCGACTCGTTTGTGCATGCCAGAGGAGCTCTCTCAAGGCTGGCCCCTTTTCCCTTCCCTCTTTCTTCTTTCCTTTTTTGCAGAGTATTTTGTGCACGCCCAATGAAGGAATTACTCGAGCCAAACGGAGCGTGCGCTGCGAACCCAAACAGGGCAATGGGCGTGTAAAGGAAAAGTGACGGACCGGAATCCGGACCCCACTTGCCCCTTGCACTGCCCCACAAACGACCTCGAAGTGGAGGACCTGGGAACAAAGTATGGACAGAAAATGCAAAGTTGAATGAAACGAAATTCAGTTTTAAGTCTTTACAAAGCCAAGTATGCTCTTAAAGGGTATACTTATCGCAGGTAAGCAATTAAGAGTGTGAGGCTTCAAGTGAAATACTCGGATACTACTCTTAAAAATCTATCAAGGTTTTAAAAAAAATCAAGAAAAGCATTGAGGAAAAGCAAGTAGAAACTAAAAGTTAGTCAGGAAAGGGCACATTTTCCCCAGCCCAAACGAAAGCACCCACGGTATGGTCCCCACGACAAGTGCGCCCTCTATTTTTATTTTATTCTTTTTTTTTTTGAGACACGGGGAACCCGGCGGCGCGTGGCTTTTGGGTCGGGTCGGTCCGGGTAATATTTTCACGGCGCCGCGTCGCGTCTCGAAGGGAACGTGAAGGCACCGTAAAGTCGCACGGCTGGGCGCTTTAGGTCGAAAAATCCACTCGGCTCCCCTCCCCCCAACTCCCCCTCCCCTGCTCCACCCCTTCGATTCTGCGTGTCCCCGGCGCCACCTACTGCTCGCGGGACGAATTCGTGAACCATTCAGTGCACGTCGTGCGACGTCTAACCTCACTGGCTGCCGTCCGGGTCCGAAAGGGTCAATTCGTCGCTCCGTCTCTCTCGCACCGCTACGGGGTTCGCCGTGAGTGCGAGAGAGACAGGCGGTCATTCGGAGAGTGGACCGGCTGCACGCCGCCGCCCCAGCCGGCACCGTGCCTAAGCCTAGGCCGGGCGTCCAGGCCGGACGAGGGGTGGGGGAGCATGAAGTGGGGGTGCAGCCATGCGCGTCGTTGCGCCCGCTTGGCGTTATAATGAAGAAGGGCTGCGGCCGCCGCGTCGCCAGTGGGGTGGTTGCGGTATAGGGAAGGAGCTGTGTCAAAACAGACGTGAGTGTGTGGATGGGCACGCCGCAGTGCTGAGGTTAAGTGTCCGATGTTTTCTTTGCGCTCCGAGCACGGCAAAAAAAACCCAGCGAAGTACTGATTTTTCGAGCATTTTTCGGCACACTGTAAGACACCGCGCGATAGGAGCTGAGGCGAATCCTGTGACACTACGCCTTTTTTATCAGTGTGGTTCCTGAAGAAGATGAATCCAGCCTGCCCTCCGTTCGGTTCGCAAAGAAAATAGTTCCAGCGTCGGCGTCCCTGTTATGAGTTTCTGGCCGGAAAGACATGGCGCGTTTGCCAGTGGAGCGGCTGGGGTGGCTGGAGGCTGCGACGGCTGGGGAATTTAGTTCGTTTTATTCGCCGCGGAATATTAAGGACCCCGCCGGGACTGGTCAACGAGGTCCCTGGGGAGCAGAAGAGGGAGCACCTGGAGGGCGCCGTTGCGAGAGTCCTTCGCTCTGTCTCTCTCGCACTCGCGGGCGGCCCGTGAAGGTGCGAGAGAGACAGAGCGAGGACCCTCGGAATCGGCCCGCAGGAGAGCGGCATTCCAGCACGCACAGCTCCAGCAGGCTCCAGCAGGCTCCAGCAGCATGTCAGAAATTAAAATAAGGAAAGGAAAGGGAGAAAGAGTTAGAAGGGGGAGGGGGAGTCGACGGTGCGAGAGGTAGAACGAACGCGGCTCGAACGTTGCGATGCAGTTAGGCGTGTCGCCAGACTCGAACCGTCGGGCCGGATTCCTAGTGCACTGGCCTGGGACGTTTCCTCTTGACTGCACCCGCCGCGCCCCGCCAGCCCCGCCAGCCCCGCCAGCCCCGCCAGCCCCGCCCCTTGTCAAATTATTCGTGATCATAAGGTTGGCTATCGGGCCGGCATTGCCAGGCCGCGCCGGGCAATGCCAAGGAAGGAGCGGGATAAGGGGTTAAGGGTAACAGGACGAGGGTAATCTTTGCTGCGGCGGATGCTGGCCGCGGTCCAGGTGCGTGGACCAGCGCCAGCCAGCGCCAGACGGGGAGGGGGGGGGGGGGGGGGGGGGATGTAGGGAAAGGGTATGTTGTTGGCTAAAAATTTTAAAATTTTCATTTTCAAAAAAAAAAAAAAATTTCAATATTTTTGTTGAATGCTTTTGATAAGGTGGTCACGCCTGCTTGACTCTGGTATCACCCCCTCTTGCGTGACATGCCCTCCTGCTCGACCCCCGTTAAGATATGTGTCCGGCCTGGGCTGGGGGTGGAAGGGGTGGGGGAGGGGAGGCCAGCCGACGTCGGCCTCCCCGCCACAAGACGGATCGGTCTGGCGTCTCTCGGTTTTTCGCCCCCTCGTCGTCTTCCGATTTGGTTCGGCGCGCCACTCCGTTATTTCACGCTTCTGGCCGCAAGGGGGCGCCGCGGGTCGCCACTTAAACTCGGCTCC